TCGCTATCAATCGGTATCAATTGCTTATTTCAACTTTGAAAAACATCATGAAAAAATCTTGGAGAAAACACTACACTATTTTATAATCTGTTGGCTAAACTTAAAAATTTTATAAATGAAAAGATTTTGCACTTTATTGCAGATAAAGCGAATGCACGACAAAATAGCAGGACTTATTTACAAGCTCCTTTTTATCAAACAAATCCAGCATGTATAAAATATTCTTCTCCATTACGCTAAAAAATATTTTAAAATAAAATAAACTTGTTCTAACTAATCAAAAGTAAAAAAAAATACAATAGTAAAAGTTTTAATATTATTATAAAAAATTTCGTTAAATTAATCAATAAACTCTTGAATTAAACAAGCAATTATAAGTTTGTAATAAATCATTTTGCAAAATATAATTTACATATAATATTACAAGTTATATGTGCAATTATTATATCAACTTTTTTATCCTTTATGTATATACGTATAATGTTTAGCATTCAAATTGAAATGAAATTATTAAATGAATATGAACTACAGATTTAACTGCGATGATTTCATAAAATATTTAGACTTACAATCAGTAGATTACTAATTCGATGATGTTTCATGCTTAAAAACAAGCTTGAATAAACTAATTATTTTTATCATAAAGATTATCTTCTTTATTTTTCTTTATTTATCTCTCTATTTATATTGTAAAAACAATAAATAAAGAAAAAAGAGATGACGCCTTAAAAAAATGTTTCTTAAGATTATTTTTGTTACGGTATTGCATGAATTTCTAAGTACATACACTTCCAAATGTGTTTTTAAAATACGACTGGATTAGTAAGGCAACAGTTAACGGAATATGTTGTTAGCAGATATGACGTTAGAATAGTATGTAACATGTTTTAGCAACTCATTGGCATCTTTCATTGAAATAGTGATGACGTACTAAGATCAATATGAACGTAGCAGCAGCGATAATATTGTACATTACGGATTGAATTTGAAAATGGAAACGTTTGAAATCTGAAAATTTGGAAATTTTCTTATCACGAAAGATAAGATTAACCGTATAAAAAAATTTTTCAAAAATACAAATAAATATTAAATAATGATAAATACACAAATATAATAGACTATTATACCGAAACTTAATGAAAAACGTTACATATATTTTTTATAATGATAAATTAAATATATATGTATATAAGAGAGAAAGAAATATGTTTATAGAGTGAATTAATAACAATTAATATTATTGCATTTAAAAAGAAACAATGTTTAAATGTAACGCAATTCAATTTAATAAAAATTCCAGAACTCATTACGCTCGCAAAATGAATTCGACGTGATAATAAAAAAAAAAAAATCGGCGACGATGGACAATAAAAATTTACATTTCCGTTGCTAATTTGACCAAGCGATTTAGCTCAATTCAGCAGAAATAAATTTTACTGTGCGCTACCACACTTTGAGGAATAAAATTGCATTAACCGTCGGTAGCGAATCGCCGACGGCATGCCCGACGAGGATACGTTATACCCGAGCTATCGTTTACGGTACATTTACGCTACTTAGCGAACTTCCAATTCGAAGTCGAAGCCCGAATCCTATATCCTACATCCTATATCCACATCGAACGCCAGAAGAATAATTCAAGCTTCGACGATCGAGGTGCAGAGAGGCGAAGGGATGGCTCTTCTTAGTGCACGCAAACTTAACGCACACAGTGTGCAGTGCACAGAACACACATCGGACTCGAATGCAGACACTGCCGTTGTTGACGCGGTCTCGGAGCTTAACAAAGTTCTTCCGAGTCCTAACGAGCTTACTCTTGGCGAGAACCAGTCGAGTATATGGCTTCCGTCTCTCCTTCCGTAGCAAATGGTTAACCTACATACCCTGCCTCGAGATTACTTACATTCCAATCGAACGTAGTTAGACGCGACTTGCCATACTCGAAGACACCCTCACGCATGCCCTATCATGGATTTATAACAGGCTTAATATACATTTCAATGTCTTTTACATGTAGTAATGACATCTTAATATCCCGCTGATGTAAAATATATTCAGATTTAGGCATTTCCATTGCGAATCAAATACGATATTAAGCACTAATACCAAGCTAACTGCCAGTATATTACATATTTGTTTCTTTTAATATTTTAATTGAATAAACGATCTCGATAATATCCGAGATCGTCCGACCGCAGTTTGTACGGCTCTAAAAATAATTCTTAGGTCAGGATATTCCTGACATTTGTGACGCGAAGGGTACACTACGGGAAAGCGCTCAATTTCATCTCGAACGAGTCTGGCTGACTAACTACGTATGTATGTATGTAACCCCCGTTCCTCGCTGCCCTACCGTAATTGAATACTCAATAGGATTTACCAAAGCGGACCGCGCGGCGCCGTGCCGCGGCGTGGCGCGGCGTGGGCGAGCCGATCGACAGGACACACGCCAATATTTGATCCGCGTCAAAAGCTTCGAGGCGGATCCACCACCGACACGGCGAATTTCCAACGGTCGTTAACCCCCGCGCTGATCGCGCTGTCTCGCCGCCGCAGCGGCGTGTGATCCTCTCCCTCTCTACCTTCCGCTCGGGTAAACTTCCGAAAAGCCGTCATCCCCGATTTGACGGAAATTATCGATTGTATCTTTGTTTACGATAAAAAGTGACGCGTGCGACCTATGGCTATGAAAACCTATGGCGACAATCTCTGTACATGTATGAAGCTTTTTTTCGACGAATAAATTTTTAAGTGACAGATTTGATTTCGTCCAAAAATGAGCATAGTTAAAAAAAAAAAAAGTTGTTTCTTCTAAATTTTAAAATTAAGTTTTTCATCTTGGTAAAACGTAAGAATATATCATATACGTTCAGAAATATTTTGTACGTCTCACCTGCACGTCTCGCCGAAACGTGCCGAAACCTGCATTTAGGCACGTTCTTCCTTTGCTCGTCCTTCGCTCATCCAAGTCCAACGCTACCCCCCCGCGTGTGTCTGTGTTTAGCCTAACCATTCTACTCGTTTTGGAGAACGTTCGTCGCGCCACACAACCAAATCCACAGGTGCGGTTGCTTTAGGGTGCTCACATCGTGCGGAAGTGCCTTTGAATGAATAGAGCGACCGTCGACAGCGCGTGAATGCACCGTAGGAGACACGTATGAAAGTCACCGACTATCCGGTACAGAATGCGACCTCTCGGAGGGACAGAATAACCCGGGTCGTCGCGATCCAGAAGACGAGACAAACCATTTCCCGTCGCCGCGCTACCGTTCTCACGATTCTTCCACCTTCCTCTTACGAATTCCTTATACGAATGAGAATTAAGCCGTGGTTTAACCAGCACGTTGAAGATTGCCCAAGAGATAAACGGCTGGATAGCCGAGTGGATAGGGCTCTTATCTGTGTTATCCTTCTTTAAGTTCACTCTAACCAATTTTTTTTTTTCGCTCACTCGAGAAAGACTCGGAAGAAGACGCCTACTTCGAATAAATTTCAAAACTTTCTACGTGACTTTCTCGCGAATTTGGATTAAAACTATTTTAATATAATATGCACTTGCAGATAATTTTGTGTAGAATATAAAAGATAATTGGATTTCTTTCCATATTGTTTTAAATGTATCTTTTTAAAAAATAAAAATTATGTAAAAATGAGAAAAGTTCCGAGATTAGCTCGAAATTTGCGGACGTACCCGACTTAAAATCAATTGTTCCGCAACAGAAAGTTGAAATTAATTGTCACATTGATTTCTTAATATTTATTATTAATGTTAATACATGATAAAATCTCTATTAAATAAAAATATTGTTAAAATCTGCTTGAAATGAGAGAAGAAAAGAATGATAAAGTTCATTTTTATTTTTATTAAAAGAAAAATGATTCGACATTGATAAGACGAGAAGAGGCTGACAAATTTTTACCTACAGCATAACGATGGAATCATTATGTTGCTTTTTTAGCGGAAAGGAAAGTGATCGCCTGCCATAGGTAATGGTGCGCGATAAATTCGCGGTTGGTTAGCCCGTAAAGTGTGACTATATCGACGCTTCGATTGATTAATTAGATTAATTTTAATTGAACGCCTATGTATATTCTGAAAGGCTGGCTACCGTCAATTTAGTAACTCGATAAATCTATAAAATAGCGTGGCGAAAGTGTGGCTACATTTTATTAAATTCCGTCTCGCAAAAGGTCGCCGTGTGGCATCACGTCGAGCCAAATTTAGTAATGGATCATTATTGAGTTTTGCAGCAAAGATATGGATATTCAAATTTAAGTAATTGCTTTTGCCGGCGCGTCTACCATACTTATTATCATTTCGTGATAATAAAAAAACGTTAACGTATAAATGTAAGTACTTGAGACACTTCTATCATTTCCCCTACATTAGCAACAAAAGTTTTCTACAAATTTATTTCTATATGAATTAAAAGTAATGAAATGATAAATATGTTTTCTCATTCGGTATAATTTTTTAATCAGAAATGCTATAATTTAAGCAAACATTCTTAATCTTTCTAAAATTGGAGCAATAAATTAGTTAAATAGCACTTAATTCTAAGTTTCCAATTCAATTTGCTGTGACAAAGATAATAAATTAACGAGATTACCTTGTGGTAAATATTGAAACTAACGATAAGTAACTGCAGAAATATATTATCTAATTGTCAAGATCGATATTTTTCTATTATAAGATATAGAAAATTCAAGTGCTTTAAATGCGTACGTAAAAATATTTTATATTCCCATCAATTTTATATTCCATCCTCTGAAACTTGTATTTAACAAAAATTCCTCTTCCTTTCAAAAAAATGAAAATTAAAGAATGGAATACATAAATCTACATATTTCTGAGAAATGTAAAAAAGCAAAAAGAGAGAACTTACAACGAACCATTTAACGATAGATGGAATCTGAATGGAAATGGAAATATAAATTGGTTGTTTGCACTTGACTAAAACAATATAATAGACGAATATTCTTGTTTAAATATTACTCACGATGTTTGAGGTGCAGTCTAGGAATGGGATCCTGTGGCCAAGCCACATTTTGCGCGGCAAAGCTGATCAGAGCCAAAATCCGCAGCGACGCGCTCATCCTGGAAACAAATGGCCCTGCAGGATGTCCGACAAATCAACGGTAACTTTCAAGCCTCATCATCGCTGCCACTGATCGTCATTCCTGCAATCATATAAGAGCGACTGTAATTCTGCTGTACATATATCACAAAGTTTCTAAAGTTCACACTAGTTAGAGTAGTAAAGTCATGTTGTTACATAGTTTATATGCATTATTTTATAATGCAAAATATTTCAACGTTTCTTAATCTATTGAAAACCACGATTGTGATGTAAAGATTTTAAGACAACTATTTTTATTTTCTATAAATTTTACATTATTAAATACAATATTAAACTCATAATAATTAACGATCCGATATTTGGAAAAATTGAATGCTAAACAATTTAAAGAAAAATTCAATTTAAATTTTCTTTCAGAAATATACCATTGGTTGTTGCTTGCAATTTTTTTGAAAATTAAAATATTTTAATAACTTAATTTTGCTTTCTTGGTTTTCAAAGTCGAAAGTTGTGTTCTTCTTTACATCACAATTATTGTCTATTGACATTGTCGCGCAAACGCTCTAGAATCAAAGAGAATATATCATTGAGAAAATTGGTTTCGGTCGCATATGCACGATATTCCGCATATATACTCCAAATTGAACGCATGTATTCTTTATGGCACGAAGAAAGCAGAACATAAGAAACGAGTTTAATGCCCGCTTTTTAAGCAGAACTTATATATGCATATCTTCTTGTAGAAGAAAACTACTTGGAATAAATAAGGGAAAGTACGAGCAAGGATAAAAGGCTAACGAAGAAACGGGAGACGACCACCGACTGCAACGACTACGATGAAGAAGACGACGATGTTATGCATTATGCAGAGAGGTCGCTAGCTCGAGTTTCTATTTGTCCTGGGGCTGTATACTGCCGTCTACTATCTTGATACTATGTTCAAGATTAAACGTAGTATCGAATATGTATATTTGCATTTATATAATATAAGTACATAACAGTGAATAACAGTTTATAATAATTAATGAAATGATAAATATATATTTTGTTAGTCAGTACAAGTTTTATAACAAGAGACGCTTTAAGCTCTAAGCTCTCTCGTCTCTCGACGGTTTTGGTGCTAAAAAAATTATAAATGTATATGTACATGTAAGGTGTTCATAAAAATGCAATCAAGCAATATGTGTCTAATGCTTTCTCAATCTATTCAGTCAATAATAAATCTGTTTAAGAAAAATTGATTTCAACATACTTTTTATAATTAGATCAACAATATATAAAAACGTCAATTTTCATTTATTTACTATTAGCAAGAGAATAATATCAAATTACATTAAATTTAAAATTGATGAAAAATCGATAGAACAGCTAAATATGAATTAGCTATACAATTATATATGGATTTATACACAGCCTTACATAAACCTTACTTTTTCCGTCGAATAATACATATCGCTAAAGCAACGTTTTATTATTTTTATCAATTAATAATGATTCGAATTTTCTGAACAGCTTGTACATCCTTCAGCCTTTATCCAAAGCGTAAATATCCAAAGCGAAATTATCATTCTATACTGCGCGCGCGGCGCTCATTTTTCTCCGACAAGTTTAGCAAAGTAAATGGAAACAAGATTCTAATATCCAACCACCGTGCCAGTTAAACCTCAATTTGCTCGCACGGATTTGTAAGTGGTGGTAACGTCAATCGAAATCGACATAACAACAATTACATTGTGTTGTTAAAGTATTAATTAATCTCGGCTGTGTAATCAGTTGCATTCCAATGCGGCAATGAGCCGCATTGTTACTCGACATCTGGTAGACGATCATAAATTCATGATTATTTCGCAGCGACAGCTGCGCGCCCGCGCGATCTAATAAAATCAGATCGTGAATCATGTTCGAGCGGAAACGAAAGAAGAATGTTTCGCTGCGGATCCGCCGTGTTTGCCATGATGTTTGCGAGAGCAAGAACACGCGCCTCGCTAGGCGTGGCTCGCCCTACTTTCGAGAGATACGAGGGACGAGTTGCAGATCGAGAGTCACTTCCCTTGCAGCGTCTCTCGTCGCAACGGTAACGGTCGCTTTCCGATTCCACGAGTGGCACCGAGTGTGCCGTGCACCGAAAATGAGAGACTTTCTCTCTTACATTAGACGACACTCCATCGCGCGTTTACAAACAACGGGAAAGCTCGCCACTCAATCGTCGGATGCTCTCTCGATGCGGGAAAAGACATCTAATTTTCAACGTCCCATATACGAGGATCGTGGAAACACAGAAAGACGACCACGTGATTACAACTCTAATTTCGGAACGAGAGATTATCATATCAGTCGTGGCGCAGAGACAGCGCTCTCAGAATACGAATTTGCTTAATTTGTGGGTTATATAAATATTTCAGGTGATAGATGAAATAACGATAGAAGTACGATATGCTTCTCGTTTCGAAAAACTAAAAGAAAAAAACAATGACATTTAAGTTTTTCTTGTTAACGTGACATTTTTAGAAATATTTTTATATCATTGAAATTTTAGTTTTATGTATGCAGACTGTGATAGTGATTGAAATAGAACCGAGAATAATTAAGTGTCACAGTCAAAGACTTATTTATTATTATATGCAAATAAAGTATCTATAGATGTTCTTTTCTCTCTCAATATTATTTTTATAGGAGAACCAAAATTTGTAAGTACATCTATAGTTAGTGCATCTATTTGTATATAAACATGCTTTCAACAATAAAAATGTTAATTTAATATTCAATTATTCGACACATATACATATTTGTATACATATACGTATATTGTTAATTAAACATATCTATAATTAACTCAATAATATATATATATATGTACCTATATATATTAATATAAATAAATATAAATATTGCATACGTATAATATATTTAGGAATTTGTGTCATTATTGAGGAAATGTAACTGCTTATATTTCCTAAAATATATAAATTATTTTAAATTATTTAACTATTATCATTTTATACTTATATCTTTGAGTGCAATATAATTTCAAGTAACTCTCGGATACATGATAAACATATCGAACTTCAGTAAGTAGACAATTAGCGTAAACAGTCTCGAGGTATTACAAACATCAGAATATAACTACCAGTTCAGTTAAACGTTTATAGATTAATTTCGCAATTCTCGATTTATAATAATTTCACATTCTGAGCTCAATCGTATGAGCTCAATCAATTCTATTTATTTTTCTATCAATTATCCGAAATGATACACAAAATAGAAGCAAAAGTGGAGTTGGAGAATCTTTTAAATATTCATCATGACATATCGTGAATACATCATAAACGGGAAAATGTCAAATTAGTTCGATTTTTAGAACAAAACAAAAATAAATAAATAAACTAAAAGCACCGTTAAAGATTTACGGTAACACTTGAAAAAACTAAACAAAAAACACGCCTTGAAAACGAGTGAGGGATGCAAAACGAAGAGGAACGACAAGGAAAAGCAAGCAGGCACAGGGCGTAACCTCTCGTGAGTAAAACTTTGACCAACACGCTGCGGGAAAGGGAGAATGTGAGCTCTGCAACTGCTGCTGCTGCTGCTGCTGCTGCTGGTGGGCGCAAAGCTCCTGTGTGGCAGATTTATGAAGGTGCTTTTCTTCTGAAGTGGGGAAAGCTGCTGCTGCTGCTGCTGCTGCTGCTGCTGCTATTGCTGCTCTGCTGCTACAGCGGGAGCACGGTCTAATTATCCATGCGCTTTGTGCGTGTACACTGGCTCCAACAAGAGCAACGGCAATGGCACAAATGGCGGTACGAGCGTGATTGCTCGGACCATGTAGATAGTTCTAGCGCGATTGCTCTCCGTTCAACGAGCCGGTTATCAAAGTAAAAACAGCGTGTTCGCTAAGCCACTCGCCTTCGTCTTGTGTGTACTATACGCGATTTCCAACTAAAATCCTAACTGAAAATTCGAATACGTTTATCCGTCGGTTTATTTATTTGTTTATTGGTGCAACAAAAGCACCAGTACGTACACTCGTCATCGACTATTCCCTTCAACAGAATACTCGAAACCATCGTACTCAAACAACGACATTTCTCATCGAAAATTGAAATAGCTTTTAATTTCATTTCAATTTGTGAAAGTAATATTTACAACAGAAAACATCCGTATAATCGTAATATAAAATTTCTATTTTTAAACATTTCATGTTAATGTTAAATTTATATTTAGCTTATATCATAGAAATTTACTTAACGATTTTGAAAAATCGTTTTACATACAAAATTTGTATTATTTATTACCTATATATATAAAATCATTTAAGATGGTAAAAAAAAATAGAGTATCATATAATATATAATACTTGAAAAAAATACTCAAAAAATGATTAAAAATATATAACTTTAAATTCAGATAAAATAAATTGCAAAAAAATGATTTATTATGATACTCATTTAATTTAGATTAACATTTTTCTAAAAAAAAAAAAACTATTATATAATTTATAAATTAATAATAAATTAATAAATATCGTTTATAAATTAACAAAACTATCGAAAATTTAACAGTGTTTGAATTATTTTCAATTAAGGAAAAATCAAGAGAAAAATAGATTCTGAATTATTTCTAGATAATTAAATCGTATTCTTTAATTAATTTTAGATATATTTTGCGAAATATTTAAAATATTAAATGCATTAAATGCATTAAAAATTACTTTGTTTTTAATAAAAAGAAAAATTTTATGCTGCTCTCTCTCTCTCTCTCTCTCTCTCTCTAAAAATCTTTATTTTTACTCGGATATTTTCTTTTCCATCTCATTTTTGGCATATCTTTATCTTCTTATCTGTTTTTATCTCATAATCCCGATCTATGTCGCTACCTAGTCTAGTCCTCTCAATTTTTTACTTCATGTGAATTTTCACGTTCAAAGAAATTGCTACTTCTGATTTGGATGAGTCTCGGAAAAGTGAAAAAGTTTCTTTTCATTTCCGTATTCCACCTTAAAAAGGCAGAGAAACATTAAAGTTACTAACAGATAAGGAAAATGACCAAAACATATGATGTCGAATGCAGATAATAATCTATATAAAATTAATTCTCATATGATTA